CTGCCCATCCCCCACTGGGGGCAGCTGGAGCTGATGGAAAGTACCCCCCACACACACACATCCCAATGCTGGAATCACTTCACATCTCCGTGCCCCCCAAGCTCCTCCCAGCCTGACCACCAGTTAACCAGAAACCTCCATCCCATCTGGGAGGGGGAGGAGGAAAGGAAGGCCAGAGTGCCCGCCCCTCAAGATGCCCAGAGCCAAGGCCTCTACCCTGCCCAGCCTGAGGGAGCTTGGAGAGAAGCATCCTAGCCAGGATAGCAGGTCAGGCTCCAGGGCTCCCTGGGGACCAGCTGTGTAGAGGCCCCCAGGGCTCCCCTGGGAGGGTCCCATAGCACCAAAGCTAGAATGAGAAGAAGGGCCAGGGATCCCTGCAGACCTGGGCCAGGCCTCACCTCCATGGAGCAGTCTGGAGGTCAGGCCAGTAGGATCAGTGTCAGGAAAAGGGTGGGGGTTTGGGGCCTGCTTGGGTTCCCCTCAAGAACAGGATCCCTTCCTATCCCAGGCTGGGAAACTGACCATCAGATACCACCTCCCAGACCAGCCAGAGCAGACCCAGGACCTTGGGCCCAGATGCCCACTGGCCCTGTTTCATCCCAAGCTTTAGTTTCTTCATTTGTCAGTGATCAATGGATCTTCCTCATTGGGTTGATGGGGCAATTCAGGTGACAGATGTCCACACCTGCCAACTTCCTGGGGCCACTGAAAGGCGCTGATTTTTTCAGGGAGTTCTTCCTCCCATGCTGCTCCATCCCCTGACCCCATCAGCAACTCCATCCCTGCCTCCCTAGGGACCTCAGCTGGTATTGTTATTAGTTGGAGTGCAGCAGGGGTTTGCAGGGCTGAGTTGGGGCCGCCCCAGAGAGAAACCAGGGTCTACCTACTTGGGGCCGCCCCTACACAGGAACCCCCAGCAGCACATCCTTTCCTGTCCCAGCATCAAAGCTTCAACCCTGGCTGTTCAGCAAAGCATGTAGAGGTGGAAAATGCTGAATCCCCACCCCTAGCCACACCTGAATCTGAATCGGGATTCACCAGGGGTCGCTGGGGCAGATGTGTACCACGGGCTTTGCACAAGCTGTGGACCTCCACACCCGGGTTGGGTGGCAGGCTGGGGAAAGACCCAGAAAGACCGGGTATCCCATCTCAGAGAGGTAATGCCCTGACACATGGCTGGGCCGCCTACCTCTGTGGCCCTTTTACAAGGGAACCAACTCAGGCAAGTGAGAGCTGCCTCTTTCTGGCTGGCCCTAAGCTTCCCCTCACCAGCCAGGGGCGCTCCCCACCTCTGAGTGAAGGGGGGACCACCTGGCACCTTCCACCAGTCACCCTCTGGCCTCCATCATCTGTGTGAAATTTACAGTAAGAACCCGGAATAGAGGGAGGCTTCTCTACAGCCTCGTAAAAGGCTCTTCCCCCTATTCTGCCCAGCTCAGGGCCTCTCCACTGCAAGCTGAACTCCCCGCTTGGGTGAGGGGCCTCCACAGCCTCCCCTGGTACACAACCTGGGGAGACATCGGTGTCGGAGGGGACAGCCAGGGCAGCCATCTCCCCCACCAAACCCTAGTGTGCCTCCCAGCACCAGGGCCCCACCCCAAACGCCAGCCCCAACATCTGGTCCCCCAGCCACAGCTGTCGCCACCCTCCCTCATCCTGGGATTGCCCCAAACTCTGCCCAGCACCCGTCCCCACCCCCTCGCCCAAGTGGGAAATTCGGATTCCAGGCAAGTCAGGGTAGATGAAAACGCACATGGGAAAATGTCGTCAGGAAAACACATTCTTCCTTCTATACCACAGTTCAGACCCCGGGAGGATTAGGTGGCAGAGGACACTCCCACCGCCTGGGGCCAAGGCCAGGCCAGGGAAGGAGGGGAGAGGGGAGTGTGGGGGCTGCAAGGTGGGGCCGGGAGGGGTACAGGGGCCCCTCACAGGCCCCAAGGAGGGGTCCTGACAGAGCTTTGTCTTCCTGCAGGGCAGCTGGCCCTCGGCGGGCACTCCCAGCGAGAGGAGCCCGGGCAGAAGACATTGCTGTGGCTATATCCCTCTGCAGCTGGCTTTCTAGAAACAACAAAAGCTTTGGGGGGACGCGGTTCACACGATTGTTTGAAATGAGGTTTTTGGATGTCTGTGGCATCCAGTTATTCATACTGGCTCCACCCACGGATAATTGAGAGTTGGCTTTTGTTGGCCTGACCCCACTTCTCAGTGCCCCCCACCAAGTCTTCTCATGGACTCCAGCTCGGGAAGCTCACCTTGTCTGACCTCGTGGTTTTAGGGATGAGGAAACTTAGACCCAGAAAGTGGTGGGGGTGGGGGGGTTGCTAGCTCAAGGGCCCCTGGGAGTTGGTGGCCTGGCCCAAACTCAAATCCAGGATATCAGATTCCCAGGCCAGGGGCTTTTCCCACTCACCCTCAAGGCTGTGGCCTGGCTCTCGCGAATCCCCCAAAGCCACTGACTCTAAAAGCAGTGGTGCCTGGAAGTGGGGTGACTCACTGTCTGGCTTCCTGGGGCGCCCCCTCCCCATCAGTGAGGGAGGGACTGGCAGGTGTCCCTGTGTAGAGAGCCAGGAGCAGGGAGAGGCCCCCCAGGGGACCCGGGCCAGGGTCACTCAGGGGCCGAAGAGCCCCAGCTGGAGGGATTTAACACCAAAGGTCAAAGGTCACAGACAGGGAAGGGCGGGCAGGCTCTGGGGGTCACAGGGTCAGCGCTAATGGCAGCTCCGGAAAGGAGGGGGAGGGTGAGGAGCTAAGGAAAACAGGGCCGCTTCCAAGGGGTCCTCAACCCCCATAAACTGTGCCCCAACCCCCTGGCACTGCCTCCTGCCTGGATGGTTGCAGAGAGGGCCCAGCAGAGCTGGGGGTGGGTTGTAAAATGGGCTGGGCTGGAGCCTGGAAAGGGGTGTCCTGGGAAGGGCTCCCCAGGTGCAGCCCCTCCCCCAGAGTGGGCCAGGGCCAGCTGGGAGGCCCAGCCCAGGCCCAGAGGGGAGAAGGAGGAGCAGAGGGGGAAGGCTCCGAGGTCACGGGGAGAGATGTGTGGGCCGGGCTGGAACAGCTGTAGTACTGTGGCACCAGGAGTGGGGCTTGGAGAGGATTGGGTGGGTGGGCAGACCTAAGGGGCCAGCTTCCCCTTCCCTGAGCTTGGGAGCTGAGGAAGGCCCTGGGGGAGCAGGGTGGCTCCTGCTGTTCTCTAGCTTCAGCTAAGCCCCACCTTCCCTCCAGGATGTAAGCCCCTCAGGAAGGCTGCCTCTAAAGACCACAGCTCAGGCCCTGGCCCTGGCCTAGACCAAGAGCCACAGAGCCCAGGCCTTGGCCAGGTCCCCGGCTGGCCTGGCTGCCCCCTCAGTGTCAAGCGTTCCCTTCAGAGCCAAGATCCCGGGCTGTGATGGCTGGGGGCCCAGGGCTCCTCCCAGGATCCCTTCCCGCTTCCCAGGCCCCAGGGCAGGGCCAGGATCCCTGCAACCATCACTGGCCCAGGGTGGCCAGGCCAGGCGGGCCCTCCCGGACAGAGGGAGAGGCAGCATGCTGCCCTGCTGTGGCCTGAGTACCCCACTGGCCAGGGCAGTGTGCCAAGGCCTCCAGGTGCCAGCCTGGATTCCAACCCCATTCCAAGGGGCCTGCAGGGAAGCAGGGTGCTGGCATCTCCCTCCCTTGGCCTCTCCTTCCCTGGGGATGCACCTGCCTCACCCCCTCCCCCACTCCCTCCAGACCCTCCTTCAAGCTGTTGGATACCCCTGCTCTCTTCACTTTGCCAGGTTCTTCTGCTTCCACCCAGGCAGCAGAGGAGGATGAACAAGTGCCAGACAGGACTCGGCTCCCAGTCCTGACGCGGCTGCACCCCCTGTCCTGACCCCCAGGGACGCCTCCTTCCCCCGGCCCAGGAAGGGCCCAGGCTACCCAGGGGCAGCAGTGGGGAGACTTTCCGGGACAAGGGAGGAGACACCTTTCAAACCCCGTCCTAGAAACATCCCCGGCGCAGCCGTGGGAAGGGGTGGCTGCCCCGCTGCCCCAGACAACTTCGTGCCCAGGATCCGGGGGGCCCCCCCTCTCACCCCGCAGCGCGCCCCCAACCGCGGCCGCCCAACTTCCCCGCCGAAGTTTGCTCCCGCCCTGGGCCCGGCCGTGGCTCGGCCCGGCCTCCGGACGGAGGGAGGGAACGAGGGAGGAGAAAGACGGAGAGACGGAGGGACGGGGCCGGGGAGCCGGCGAGGGAGGGAGCGCGCGAGCCAAGCTAGCGAGGGAGAGAGCGCAGGGGCCCCGGCGAGGGCTCACAATGGCCCGGGGCGAGGCGCGGACGCGGGAGGAGGAGGCGACCCTCGGGTCCCGCAGCCCCCCGCAGCCCCCGCGCGACAGCCCAACACCCCCCCGCCGCCCGCCCATGCCCGTCCCCACGGCGCGACGCCCCGGGGCTTCCTACCTCGGCGGCGGGGGCGGTCGGGCTCCCGGCTGCGGGCTCCGGCGGTCGGGGGGCGGCGGGGGAGCGAGCGGGGGAGGGGCCGGGGCGGGCGGGGGCCGGGGCGCGAGGCTCACGCGGCGCGGGCTCCCCTGGCACGGCCGCCCGGCGCCCGGCCGCTCCGCCACATCTGCAGCTCCGGCAGGGAAGGTGGCCGCGGCGGCCGGGCCGTGCGGGGATGTCTTAGAGAGGGAGGGAGGAGGGAGGAGGGAGGTGGCGGGAGGAGGGCCGGGCAAGCCTCGGAGGAGGGGGAGGAGGAGGGGCGCGGGGGGCGGCCTTGCTCCCTCCTCCCTCCCCCGCTGGTTCCCTCGCGCCCGCCCTCCCAGCAAACCCCTCTCGCCGCGGCGGCCCCAGGCCCGGGGCGCCAGCTGCCAGGCGGGGCGTGCGCGTCGGGGGGAGGGGGCGGCCGGGAGCCGGCGCTGGGCCGGGGGAGGGGAGAGAGAGAGGGCGGTGGGGCAGCGGGGCCGCGGGGAGCGGGCACCGGGAGGGAGGGGGCGCGGGCCGCGGCCGAGCGGCTCGCGTCCTCCTCGGCCCCATCCTCGGGTACCCCCCCTGCCGCGCCCCGCCCCCGGCCCGAGGGCAGCGCTGGGACACGGCCCGGAGGTGGCCTGGGGATGGCGGGGGCGGGGGGGGTAGGGATGTCCCGCCCTTGGGGAAGCCCGCGGAGGGGGCAGGCGCGCGGATGCCCGGAGGGAGGGCGTGCGGGCCCAGAGGAAAAGCCCCGAGGACCGGGAAGATGGAGGAGGTCGCTGCGGCCGAGGGGGCGGGGGCCCCTCGCCTCCCTCCCGCGGGGTCACCTTGGCCAGGCCCCCCGCGGCCCCGGGCGGCGGGGAGGGCGGCAGGAATGCCTCTCCGCAGGCCCTGGTTTCTCCGCCCAGCCCAGTTCCAGGAACGCGCGGGCAGCGCCCGGCAGGCAGAGGCCCCGGCTCCGGATTCGGGGAGGCGCAAGCCAGGGTTCGAGGCCGGGATCAGACCCTCCCTCCCGTCCCACGCCGGGTTGGTCCCCGCCTTGCCCTCGGCCTCAGTTTCCCACACAGTGGAATTAGGACTAGGTCCGGCTGGGAGCAGTCCGGGCTTCCGCTCGGCCTCAGTCTTGGTCCCAGCAGTTGGGACAACCTGCGTCCCCAGCCTGAGCGCCGCGGGGGTCCTTGGTCTCGCCGGAACCCCGCGGTTAGGAGGTGGAAGGAGTGGATGCCGGCGAGTGCTTAAGCCCCGCACCCGCCTAAGCTGTCTTTTCCCTCCTAATGTTGAACCCAGACTCGCGTTCTTGAGTGTGTCTATGTTTGGGTCAGTCTGGAGCCCCTGCCCGGTTATCTTCTCGTTGCTGTGCTGTCGGGTGGCAAATCTTGGTTCAAAAACAGCCCTCCTGCTATTGGCCAGTCCCGCCGCCAGCCCCGCCGCCTCACAGCTAGCCTTGAGGAGTCCAGGAGAGGAAAAGCCTCCTCTTGTAGATGAGGCACCTGACTCCCGGTGTAATTTCGCCTTCATGTGTGTATTTGATGCCGCTGACCGCCGCTAGAGCCCGAGACCGGTAGGTCTTGATCACACAGCATCCTCAGCTCCTGGCACAGCTCTTGGCACATAGTAGGTGCTCCAGACATGGTGCACGATGGACACATGATAGGTGCTCATTACATTTTAAGCTAATGTACATATAGTTGGTGCTGGTGACTTTTGCATAAATGGACAGAGTTCCTGCTCTTAAATTGTCACATGAACACACAGTAGATGCTTATTGTATTTTGGGCAAATGGATACATAGTTGATGCTTATAATGGTTGCATGAATGGACACATAATAGGTACTCATGACTTACATGAACAGACACAGAGTAGGTGCTCATGAATTGTTGGGTGATACATGAAAGGCCTGTAGGCCTGAAAAGTAGCGATTTGGAGGTGACCTCCCCTGCCCCTACCCCACCCCGATTTCCCTCCTGTGGATAATGTGGAGTGAGACCAGACCGGGTTAAACATTAGCCAGCAGATGGGCCTGGGGGCAGGCCAGCTTTGGGACCTAGCACCTTCCAGGAGGGGGCTGTTAAGGGCCGACTCTCCCGGTCCGCTGGGTGCGTGGGGAGGGGCAGAGGCTGAGGGCCGCAGAGCGCCCCCTCCCGGCGCCTGGGATCTTGGCGATGCAGGCCACAGCGCGGCCCTGTAGTCAGAGGCATAGCGTCGTTCAACCTCAACAGGTCCGGCTTCAGCCGTGGGGGAATCTAGGTATATTGAAAAACGGTGCACAAGGGGCTACTTTTTTATCTGTTAATAATGCTTATGGCGTGCCGGCAGGATGCCAGGCAGTGTGCGGCAGTGGAGACAAGAGCGAACAACCTCAGCTGTCCTTGCCTTCGTGGGTCTCACAGTCTGTTCGGACCTGAATCCAGTGACCAGGGAAATCCATCGACCTCCGCGCCATGCGGGGCACTTGACCATAAGAAACCTTTACACCTCGGGGCGCCTGGGTGGCTCAGTTGGTTAAGCGACTGCCTTCGGCTCAGGTCATGATCCTGGAGTCCCGGGATCGAGTCCCACATCGGGCTCCCTGCTCAGCGGGGAGTCTGCTTCTCCCTCTGACCCTCCCCCCTCTCATGTGCTCTCTCTCTCTCTCATTCTCGCTCTCTCAAATAAATAAATAAAATCTTAAAAAGAAAAAAACCTTTACACCTGGAGGTCCTTTCTCATCGTTTTTCTACATACACTTGTTTTCACGGACAAACAGCTTGCTCCCAGTGAGAACTCTGAGTTGGGATTCCCACCTTGGGATGATGACTAATATCTCCTTTTTTTTTTTAAAGATGTTATTTATTCGAGAGACAGGGAGCACAAGCAGGGGGAGGGGCAGAGAGAGAGGGATAAGCAGACTCCCGCTGAGCAGGGAACTCTACCTGGGGGTGGGGCTCCAGGCACAGGGGCGGGGAGGTGCTTGATCCCAGGACCTGGAGATCATGACCTGAGCTGAAGTTAGACGCTTAACCCACTGAGCTACCCAGGTGCCCGAAATGAGGTACATTCTTTTTTTTTTTTTAAGATTTTATTTATTTATTTGCGAGAGCGAGAATGAGAGAGAGAGAGAGCACATGAGAGGGGGGAGGGTCAGAGGGAGAAGCACACTCCCCGCTGAGCAGAGAGCCCGATGCAGGACTCGATCCCTGGACTCCAGGATCATGACCTGAGCCGAAGGCAGTCGCTCAACCAACTGAGCCACCGAGGTGCCCAAATGAGGTACATTCTCAACACATACTAGCCATCACTACCTGGTGTCCACATTCTAGGACCCAGATGGAGTCCCCTTAGCTGCAGATAAACCCCTAAATTTGGCTTTTGCAAATCCAGCAAGAGTGAAGAACTATATAATCTTGGTGGAGTTGACCCAACCGGAAACCCCCAATTCTCAGGCAGAGCAGTTCTTTCTCTATACCAGATACTTTTTTTTTTTTTTTAAAGTAAGCTCCATGCCCAACCTAGGGCTTGAACTCACCACCTAAAGATCAAGAGTCATATACTCCACTGACTGAGCCAGCCAGGCACCCCCAAATGCTTTACTTTTATTATATTCACAATAACCCTGAGAGTGAGTCCTATTATTATTCCCATTTTACAGAGAAGGAAACTGAGGCACAGAGAAGTAACTTGGCCAAGGTCTTAGAAGCTAGTGGGAGGCATAATCCAGATTGTGGTCTCAGTTGATCTGATTCTAAATCTTGTGTTATAACCTACTATCTCCTTGGAGCATCAGATAAGTTATGGCGTGGGGGTGCAGGACATCCGAGAGCGCCAGGTTCTGAAGGGGTTTTTTTGGTTTGTGCTTTTCTGGGAGGCAGCACCTGCTATAGCAGTCAGGTCAGGCTTGGCTTCCTCTTTCTTAGTGAAAGGTGGGTAAGGAGGGATGTCCTTCTCCCTACCATTACCCTGGGTTTCCTCCCTCTAAGAATCCCTACTCTGAGCACCCAAACTTTGGTACTTGTTCCCCTCCCTTGTGTTATGGACTGTCTCCCCTACTAGACTGTAAGTTTCCAAGTTCCCCAAAGAGTAGGACACAAGAGCATTATCTGCTTTGTCACACCCCCTGCAGGGTCCTGCCCAGGGCCTGTCACATAGCAAATGCTTCATAAATATTGCTGCATAAATATTTCTGTTATGAATGTTTATGTCCCCCCAGCTTCATATGTTGAAGCCCTAACCACCTCCTCAATGTGATACTATTTGTATATTGGGCCTTTGGTAGGTAATTAGGTTTAAATGAGGTCATGAGGGTGGGGTCTCCATGATGGGCTCGGTGCCCTTATAAGAAGAGGAAGAGAGATCAGAGCTTCCCCTGCCCCCTGGCCATGTGAGAACGCAGCAAGAAGGTAGCCATCCGCAAGCAAGGAAGAGAGTCCTCACCAGGAACTGAATCTGCCAGCACTTTGAACTTGGACTTCAGCCTCCAGAACTGTGAGAATTAATGTGTGTTGTTTAAGCTACCCAGTCTGTGGTATTTAGTAATAGCAGCCTGAGCTAAGATAATTGCTGATAGATATATTTGGGGGGCTGAATCTGGTCTCCTAGACTTTTTTTTTTTTTTTTTTTTGACAGAGAGAGAGGGAACACAAGCAGCGGGAGCAGGAGAGGGAGAAGCAGGCTTCCTGCGGAGCTCGATCCCAGGACCCTGGGATCATGACCTGAACTGAAGGCAGATGCTTAACGACTGAGCCACCCAGGTGCCCCAACAATAAACATTTATTAAACATCTCCTAGGTTCCCATTCATTCAACAGATGCTTATTAAGCTCTTATTGTGTGTTTATTCATCAACATTCATTGAGGGCCTACTGTGTGCACTGGGCTAGGCAACCCCATCCATGTCTTCAAGGAGATCTCTCGGTCTGATGGGGACCCCTCACCTATCATTACCCAGACTAGACGCACCTCCCTCATTCAAACACAGGCACACTGCAAGGAGGACAGCCTGCACAATATAGATGCTTAGTAAATGACGCATCAATTAACGCACAATGCTGGGTCCAGAGAAACTCAGCAGTGTAAGCACAGTTCCTGTCTTTCCAGAGCCTTAATCTATTCAAGGAGCTGAAAGTAAATAATACAAGACAGCATAAAGAAGTGAGCCTTGTGACCTACATTGTAGATGTAGGAGAGACAACAGGAACCAGGATGGATGAATGGCAGCAAACCCCAAGCTCCAGCTCTTGACCTTAGCCAAGCCATGGGATCTCTCTATGCCTTAGTATCCCTATCTCTGAAATGGTGATCCTCATGCCTATTATGGGTTTATGGGAGCCTCAGTGCAGAGGGCATAGGAGGGCTTCCAATGCCTGGTGGGGAGAAAGAGTGCAACAAATAGTAGCTATTGTTATTAATGAAGCCTGCAACCCACTGTGAGTGGGGGCCCAGGAACAAGGATGGAGTGATGGAGAGAGTGAGATCAGGGTGACTTATTAACCTTAGCTGGGGCCTGGTGAGCTCTCTCCCATTGGCGCTGGCTTGCTGGGCCTGCTGGGCTGGGGCTGTCTATGGGTGGGGTGTTTATTCTGGGAGGCAGCCCTGGCTGCTCCTCACACCCTGCTCCAGCGAGAAAGGAGAGCTTCGAGTCAGAACTGAGTCCTGTGCTGGGCCTGGCAAGTATGAGCCAGCCTACCTGTCCACGTGGCTGGGGCTGAGAATATCCAGGAGGCACAGACCCAAGGGCCAGCTGGGTCATTCAGGTTCGGGACACAGTCTCCCACAGGACTCACCCGACCCCCAGAAGTCCAGTTCTAGAGAACCTGAAATGCTCAGCTTTTGGAGCTCTGGATGCCAGCATGGAGCTAAGACTCCTGGGCTGGGGGTGGGGGTCGGGGGGGAGGGAGGGAGGTGACATTGGAGGTGGGGATGTCCCTGCTGGCTTCTCAGGCCTTAGAAGAGCCCCTGAGCCTCTTCATCAGGTGACTTCATGGACATTCACCGGTGCAGTTGCACAAGCCTGGTACTTAAGTAGGGCCTATGCTTGGCTGAATATTCTGCCATCACTTTCCTGAAATTCTTAGTCATTTTGGAACACAGGGCCTCACATTTTCATTTTGCACTGGGTCAGACAAATTGTGTAGCCTGTCCTGCCTTCATGCTTTGATTTCCCCCAGTAGTAGCTTCTCCCTCAAATGGGGGCATTCAGATACACCCCTCAGCCACCCCCAGCCAGCCAGGAGGGCCTTAGATAAGCCCATTTCCTAAAAGGCAGTGGGGGGCCAACTCCTGCCCCCTCCCCCAACCCATCGGTACCAACGTTGCAGAAAAAGCTCAAGGCCAGCCATGTGATAGTGGGTAAGTCATTCAACTTTTCCGAGCTTCTGGGCGTGATAAATGTTGTACTTAACTTCAGCTGGACTGTTGAGAGGATTGAAAGAGGTAGTTCATATAAAAGGCACAGTGCCTGGCACAAAATAAGCGCTCAATAAAGTAGAACTATTATTTTGTTTTAAAAAATGAGTATTATTATAAGCGCTAAATTGGAGGA